TCAGCATGCCTGAAGGAGATGCCATCCCTAAAGTGGAGCTGACTGAACGACGATCACAGGCTTTCACCAATTAGCTGGAATTAGGGTGAGATAAATTCTGACCAGTATCTCAGGGTGCCATCAGTTCTAAAGGTCACCAAAACAATACCCCCATCCAAATTTGCAAGGTGTAAAAAAACCAGGGCTTTTTGTTTTATCCCAACACTACAGAAACAGTTTTGAAGACGTCAGGAATCAAGACGTCTGCATTTGCAGCTGCCTGTGTGAGACAGAAGTCTGGTAGGGAATTGAAGCCCTTGCTGGAAGCCATTGAAGCCAATAAATACAATCTCAAAATACACGCAAATCCATTAAGACTAGAATGTTATATAATTATCTTTCTTCTGGTTTTCTAAATCTACCTATCTTTAATGCCCATTGGCTATACAGAATGAAAGTGTGTAAAATTCAAGGAAAATAAATAAATTGAGATTTTTCACGCAATTCAGCAAATGCAATTGTGGTGAGAATTCAGGGGGTTCTTGGCAGGTGAAGAGAGAAGAGGGACAACCTTGGTGTAAATTGAGTAGAGAATCCATGTGTGAATAACAGACAGTTTATCTGCAAGTCTGGAAGATCTCCAAGGACTCAGAAAGACAACATGAACATAGAGAGCGTTTTGCAAAAGTCTGTCTATGCCGACGGGGGACCCTGTGGGCACGATGTGACAGTGGTCCTGCCACAGTTAGTGAGGTGCCGATGCTGGCTCCGACTCAGGTTCTACACAGGACTCTGACCTGACATTGCTCCAGAATACCAAAGCCCTTTTGGCTGTCAGCCCTGGTGATAGCTTTTGAACAATAGATGGCTGTGTCCCAAGCACCGCTGTGGTCATGAAGGGCATGTCCCCTGTTTTGAGGCTTCTGACAAGAAGCCCTTGTGTTTTCCTGTTGTCCTGAAAAGCAGGTGTTTATGAAAAAAGCCAGATATAACAGGTTCCCCAAAGCTCATGGTTAGACAGGCACAGGAATGAGCTGGATGCTGTGATGGGCCAGTTTTATGAGCTGCACGAATTCCACATTTAAGATGAGGGCCCAGGATGTCTCCCTGGATGAGGGAGAGGGTATGCAGCGCCCTGGGCTGGTGAAGTCAGGAGGGACCTCAGGGACCAACTGACCTCACTCCTCAGGGAGAAAAGCTGACTCCCAAGGTCACTTACTTGGGCCCAGGTCAGGGCCAATACACACTTGTTGATAGGCACAGAGGCTCAGACAGCAAGAGCCTGTGTGTTTCACCATCTACGGCCCAAACTAATGAGGAACCCTTCACTTCTGTGGAGACCCTTATACATGCTGGAGTGGACAGAAGGAAGGCTGGTCTCTCTTCAGGGAAGTCAACAGAGACAGGAACACTGATTTTTATACTCTGGAGTCAAAACACAATGTTGGCAAAATGAGACTACAGCTGTGACATCCTCAGTCCAGGCAGATGGAATGGCCAAAAATGGCTGCTCCTAGGCAGGTCCGAGCACCACAACACCACACTGCGGGGAGACCAGAGAGGACCGTCTCGGCTGTGGATGCTGATGTGGCAAGAACATTTGAAAGTCTCTGATGGAGAACCCCCAAGTGAACAAGAGCCCACTGAGTACAGTCAAGGACAGCACCTTCTAGCATGCTAGCCAGGAGTGGGATGTAGGCAAACCATTTGCTGTCATCATTTCTTCTGCTTTACCCCGTGATGAGGACAATGGAGAGGACTGGACTAAAGACCCAGCTGGGTGCCAAACTGGCCATCACTGACCCCTGCATCTCCGACCTTCTTGGAGTGTCTAGTCTCACCTCTTTCCCGTTCTCTCAGCATCAGCAAATGCTCCCAGGGTTTTCATTGTCTAGCAGCCCAGGTCCAAGGTGAGCAGACAGCACACCTGCCTGCACTAGCTGTGACTTGTGGGACCCTCTCGCTGACCCTGGTGGCTGCTAAGGAAACCTGGTCCCCAGCCTTTCTTATGTCACCCCAACCACAGATGCCTGCTTCCTGCCTTTCTTCTACTCAGAAGTGCCAGGTGAGCAAGTTCTATCAACAAGAAGTGATAGTAAGCTTTGAGGAGGACTTTCAAATACGCTTTCCCCACAAAGGGACACAAGCACTTGCTCGCTCCGTCCCCCCTCTTTCTCCCTTCAATACGGATGCTATGGCCTCCTGGAGCTGTTGCGGCTACTTGCTGATCATAAGACAGCCAAGCATGGGAATGAAAAGACAAGTCACAGCGGGAGCCCAGCTGCCAGGTGATGCCTCAAAACCTACATCCACACATGGCCTCCTGTGACAGACCCCCCACAAGCAGAAATACATTTTTGCAGCCCAAAGCAGTTCTCATCAGATGCCTCCATTTATAAATGGATCAGGGTTCTCCTTTGAGCTACTCTACAGCACCACCACAAGCCCTTGACTCAGGGCGGCTGCTGGAACACAGTGCAGGTCACACGACTTGTTCACCTGCGCACTAAGCAGCGGCTCTCACCATCCCCTCATTGTCTCAGGGTCCCACTCAGCATGGCTGTACTTACACTGGACAGTGTAGGCCACTCAGGAAGGGACCAAAGAGTACCCCAGGATTGCAAGAAAGATCAGGTTAGGATCAAAACTTCAGAAGACAGTCGAAAGCAGGGCAGAGCTCTAGACAGGGCTCTGGGGTTCAGAGGTAAGCGGTAATGATAAGTGAATGTGTTCTCCTGCACTTTGGGGAACCTGAGAGCTACGAAGCGATTCTGAAGCAGTGTGTTCTGAGGGGTGGGGGTGTTCCGGTATGCACTGACCTAGCTCCTCTGGTCAAGACCAAGACAGAATGCTCAAAAATTCAAGGCCTACTTGGCTAAAGAGTAGATTCCAGAGGAGCCTGAGTAACTTAATAAGACCTGTGTCAAGAGGAATAGAAGGGGTGGAGGTGCATGAAGTGTTTGCTTAGCATGAGCAATGCTGGATGTGGGGACCCTCAGCATCTCAAAGAAAATCAGTCTGGAGCAAGTGCTAGCCCTGTGCTCCGGGAGGTTGATCTCAGGGCTGCTCACCAAAGAGGGGGAATAGGCTGAAGGAAGTGTGGTGGGAGGTCAGCTCCAGGACCAGTGGCCTCCTCGGTGTGGACACCAGCGGACACCACTGTGCTTTCTGACTGAGAAGGAGTGTCCCATCCTCGATGCCCCACTCCTCAGGGTGGGCGTTCTTGCTTGCAGCAGGCCTGAATAAACAGGAGTCACTGCCCCCGAGCACACGACTGCCTTCCCTACCAGGAACCAAGGAACACAGCAAGGCAAAGCTGGCAGTTCAGAGAGCAACAGGGGCCTTAGACCACTACATGTGAGCGTACATTGCCCAGTAAAAATGATCATAACCTTCTTGGTCCCATGAGAAGCCACAGTGATTCTTGGCTGAGGTCTCAGGTCCTAGCTGAGATTTGTGTAACCGATCCAAGAACAACAGCACAGAGAGACTCTGAACCATGGGTTTCCTCCAAATCAAGAGCCCAACACACACAACCCTGTACGCACAGCCATGCCAAGAATTCCACCGTGGCTCCACACATTCCCATCCTGGGGATTTCCGTCTCATCACCACACTGGCACCTTGGGGACCAGAGCTGCTTACCCGGGACTGTCACCTCCCTGTGGGTCATCTTGGTGAGCTTTTGGCAGGTTAAGTGCTCTGGTCAGCTGGGGAACAGCCCCAGCTCTTGGGCCTAACTGTAAAGTCTGCACTGGGGCAGCCCATTTCACGAAGCCTCACAAGCTTGGCCACAGAGGCAATCACAGGCTCCACGCAGGATGAGCACCCTCTCCAGTGTCTCCTGTGCACTCCACTCTAGGCAAATCCATGTCGGTTGTGAAGCAGCCATCCTCACTGGGGCTGCTCCCCCACAGACCTTGCCTGGGTCTGGGACTGATGGTCATGGGTGAGGAGGGAGGTAATGACAAGGGCATCTGGTCCAGGATGACTACAGTAGGTATGTCTTTAATACGCTCGTGAAGCGGAATTTTTCTAAAGCAACCTCGGGAGGGAATAGCTGTGCCTGGCGTGAAGCCTGGATTAGAAGTCGAATGCGGCTCTGTTTCACTGCTGGACTAGCACAGCACAGCCCTGTATTCCTCAGACCACACCACTGTATACAAGTCACCTCGCACGCTAGGAAGATGTCATAGGAAGGGGGACAGGGCTTTTAATAGGCATTTTCTAATAGCTGAAGATCATAAATGACTCACAAGTTTCCCGAATGGAAGCTGATACACGAAAGGAAGTAAACGAGGCCTGGCTTCCTTGGGGCTGAGCCAGGCAGAGAGGAAAATCTAATTATTTCTTCTAGAATGAAATATTTCCTGACTTGCCTTTGAATGAAGTGTTCCTACCTGTGAAGCAGAGCCAATGGCCTGTGTTGCTTCTGCTCATCTGTGGGATAAGCCATACGGCCAGCATGCTGTGCCCAGACTCCCACAGGACCCTTACTCCATCCCTGCGGCTCAGTCCGTCCCCCAAGAGTATCCGGGCCATGCAGTAAACCCAGTGGAGTTGGGGAAAGGGGACGGTGCTTGGTTAATGCTACAGTAAGTCTTGGCTCTGTATGTGTTGGGCTTCTTAGTTTAAGAGGCCATAAATAGAAGAGACCTTTCAACCATTCTATCTGTACTTTATGGAGTTCTTAAAGAGACACGGGACAAAAAGAAAATATCGGGGTTTTGTGCAAAAGCGGAGAATTAAAAAGGAAAAAAAGATACATTGAGAATCATACACCTTTCAGCAATCCTAATAAGATAACGTGTCTGTGCAGTTTAGACCACATGTGAGTGTTTCCTCGCTTCAGGGACCCTCTGCTTCCTGTGACCTCAGCAAGACCAAGCACACAGTTCAGTCAGAGTTAGGAACCAGGGAGGGAGTCTTCCATGTTCCCCTGGGGCACTGAACGGTGACCCCCACATTCCTGGGCAGCCTCGCTGCATTCCTGCAGGAGGGCGTACCGTGGGGACCCTTACCTAGCCGGTTGCAGGGGTTCCGCTTGAAGAGGGCCCTCAGCAGGCTCTGTGCCTCCACGCTGAGGAACTGGGGCATGCCCAGCTTGGCTCTGGAAGACAGAAGGGAACACAGGTGAGAAGGGAGAGGACAAAGGTCAAGTGCGGTGCCCCGTTCTGTGAGCCGCTCTGCTTGCAAGGGAACAGTTCCCCAAACATCTGGACGACGGTGCCAGCATTCACCTGAGGACCCCACTCTGCCTAAAACCATGTGAAGAGCTTCAGCTCATGCAACTTGTAGCTGGCTACTGACCATATTCAAAATTAAAACTGCAGTTTCCATAACTGCTACTTACTAGTCCACTTAAAACACAGTGAGGGGTCAAAGCAGCAGCAGGGATCCCCGAGAACCGACAGCATCGCCCATGGAAACAAAGTTTTCCCAATGCCACATTCCCTTAAGCAAGCGAGGGTATTGGTGTCTTAAGTTCAGTGAGCTCCTTTCCAGCACCCTGGGAACAGTGTCCTCTTACTTCCCCGGCAAGTAGAACTATGGAGAATGTCTGCAAAAGGAGCGTCCCAAAGGCCCGGAACCGGAACGTTGGCCCCTGGAGTCCTTGGACCTTACCCAGCACCAGGCACTGAGTGTGGCCTGACCCGCAGCCTGGACAGACACGGGCCCATATGGGTTTGCTGGGAGGACTGCCCCAGCTTTCACCAAAAGTAAAACAAGTTCCCATTAAAACCTAGGGAACAAAGGTGCTCCACCAAGAACACAGGGTACAGCTATTGGCAGCTACCTAGTAAGCACATGGATCAGATGCATACAGGATCACTGGCTGCCCTGGAAGACCACAAGGAAATCCTGAACCATGCAAGGCTTTGTGATGTGTCCCTGCGGTAGAGTTTCTACCTTCTGTCCTGTCTATACAGGAGGAAGTCACAAAGATATGGCTTGCAATGTCTAATGTCTCCTAAGTTTAGTAAAATCCTTTTATGCCAACATTCTAGTGGGAGACACAAGAACAGTGCTGTGACTTTTCATGGGACCCTTACTGATTTGGGGTTCCCATCTCTTATGCCCAGCTCATCAAGGACTTTATAGCAGGTGGCCAAGGGTTCAACAGTGGTCGATGGCCTCTTCTATGGCCCTAGAGCTCTCCTGTTCTTTAGGTAAATGAGTCTGAGGAGACCGAGTCAGAAACAGTTTGCAACCACACGGTGCCCCCTGCAGTCGTGTGGGGTGCAGGTTACCATGTGCAGGTTCAGCAGGGAGAGTGGAAGCCTGCACCTGTGCCCTCTCTGCCACCCAGGAGACCACTGTCATCACCTGGAAGCCAACACCGGACAATCTACGTGAGTTAATCTACGTCTGAAAGTTCATCAGAATTCTCCAGTGGGTCTTCCAGGACAGCCAAGGTTCACACACACAGCCGGCATGCAATCCATCCATGGTGATGAAGAGATGGCTCTTCCCAACACCACGGCTCCCACTGAACTCAGCAGCCCACCTCCTCCTCAGCTATCGACACAAAGCCCACGACTCAGCTCCCGGGTGGAGTGTCTACTTTGGAGCAGGTACCCACACTCACTTGAGGATGAGGGCCATCGTCTCCTTCCTGTCCTTCCCCTGGAATGGCAGGGACCCTGTGAGCATCTCGAACTGTAGAGCAAAAAAAAAAACAAAAAAAAAAAAACGGATGAGTTTGTTCCTTCATCCCCAACCCTATCCATCAGTGGGACAGCAGCCCCGTGGTGAGGCACCAGGACCTTGGCCTCCAGGTTCCCTTTCTAGCTGGAGAGGCTCAGAAGGACGAACACGGTGACTGATGGTTGACTACACTACATGTGGGTTAGGGCTTTCTTTCCCTGGTGAGCGCTGTGGAGAGCGGCAGCAGGAGAGGGGTCAGAGCAGCCTAGGGAAGGTGGGGGGTGATGAGCAGGAGGGAGACTGCTCACATGGACCGCTGCATGCTCTTTGTCTCTGATGGGAAGGATCCTGGGTACAGCCCATTAATAACACCTGATGGGGACCAGAGGGAGCCAGAAATCTCTCACAAAGACTCCCACACAGGAAACAGCACTGCTTAGGAAGGGAGTTGAGATAAGGCAGGGCCTGAAGGGCAGACCTCGCTGATCATGGGTTTCTTACTCACAAAAACAATGTTGATTCTGTGGGCTCCAGAGGCTGAGGCCTGGATCCTACAGTTATTACCAGCACCTCCATCACCATCAACACCACTGCCTCCACCACTGCAGCCGCCACCACCACCACCATGGCCACCACCACTACCACAACCACCACAATGACCACAGCCACCACTACCACCACCACCACCACCTATGCCACCACCTCCTCCTCCATCACCACCACCACGACCATCACCACCACCTCTTCCTCCATCACCACCACCACGACCATCACCACCACCTCCACCACCACCTCTTCCTCTGTCACCACCACCACGACCATCACCACCACCTACACCACTACCTCCTCCTCCATCATCGCCACCACCACCTCCACCACGCCCCCAGCACTGCCGTTGAGAGGTGAAGGCAGCGGTAGCAAACCCCACCATGCACACGAGATACTAAAACCTGCAGACATGTGTGAAGCATCTACTGTGAGCACCGCTCACTTCAGTCTAGATGAGGAGGCAGCAGCCTGCCTGGAGGTCTTTAAGCGGTCACACTAAACCTGCGAGTGCCTTGATACTTTCACTGCACCTGCCTCTGCCCCTTAACTTATGGTCCAGTGTCTTCGCTTTGCATTGTGAAAATCCTGGGAGACACGAGAACAAAGACAGAGACAATTGGCCTGCCAGCCTCATTTAAAGACACTCAGAGCACTGACCTCCTACTACACAAAACTGTTCATGCTTACTATGAAAGTTCTGTAGCATATGTGGATGAGCCAACACGCAACAAAATGTCTACTGCTGGACACCTAAGATGTCGCCAGCTAGGATCCCACTAACAGAACATATTAGACCAGTGATTCTCAACCTGGGGATCCAATGACCCTGCACAGGGGTTGCATAATAGATAGCCCGCATACCAAATAATTACATTACAATTCATAACAGTAGTAAAATTACAGTTATGAAGTAGCAACAAAACAAATTCTATGGTTGGGGGGCATCACAGCATGAGGAACTGTGTTAAAAAGGGTCGCAGCATTGGGAAGGTTGAGAGCCACTGCTCTGAACTGAAAGACACTTAAACGCTTCCTGAACTTCGGGGGTGATAACACATTAACTTTTCTCATTGCTGTGTAAAGCAGTCAAGGAAAGCAGAGTTCTCAGGCAGCCAGTGCTGGAGGGAAGGCAGGAGACAGGAGCATGAGCTGCTGCTCACACAGTATCCAGTCGGGAAGCAAAAAGACAGAGCTGGCGTTGCCCGCCGGTTTCTTCTCTCTCCCTCTCCAGTCTATGGGTGGTGCTCTCCATATCTGGAGTGGGTCTTTCCTCATCAGTTAGGCCTCTCTGGAAACGACCCACAAACACATTGAGTGTGTCTCCTAGGGGGTTCAAATCCAGCCGAGGTGCTAGAGAAAGCCAACCACAGCTGACAAGCTAACAGAGCACAGTTATAAACTTAGAGAGAGAGGAGGTTACAGTTCTTAGTCTTTTTATTATTGTTTGACAGTTTCGTACATTTACATAATGAATTTGAGTCATTTCACCTCCCACATAAATATGTCATGAGAGTGGAGCGAGAGCTGCTGGAGAGGAAGGTTTCGGTGGGAGAGAGGCGAGAGAGGGATGCTTACAATGTATTATCGGCTTTCTCTTTGTAAACCAGCGTTTAAAGGGGTTGAACAAGGCCCTGCCAGTTCAGGGCTCCGAGGTTCACCCTGTCACACTGCGCTGCCGCTGGCCCCATGCGTGATTAAAGTGCACAGACGATTGGGCTGCAGGCGACAACAAATGCATCCGTAATAAAAGGCGAGAGCAACAGATGAGAGCTCAAAAATAGACAAACATCATGAAAATGAAAGGCTGGATGCTCGGCCTGGAGATGAGCGACTCGTTGGATAAATACGATGAGCACGCATAAGCTGATTATAAAAATTACCATCTCAAAATAGGGTGCCAGTGAGGGGAACTCTTGCTGCTCCGCTCTTCCTTGCAGTCTATTTATGGCGCTCATGAAATCCCATTTCCAAGAAAGCCTGTGACTGCCTAGAATGCGAATATGTCCCACCTGTGGCCTTCTAATCCTTGCTGCAGAAATGGAGCCACGGTGCAGGCTGGTGCACAAGAACAATGTGTGGCAACAACAATCAAAGCCCGTGCTCTCTGCTCATCTCTCCCTTCATGTGGTTCATTTCTAGGTCTGCATGGTAGAGACCAATACAAGGGTGCACAGGAACGCTCGCTAAGGGCCTGCTCATGACAACACACAGGCACACAGGAATGCTCGCTAAGGGCCTGCTCATGACAGCACACGGCACACAGGAATGCTCGCTAAGGTAAGGGCCTGCTCATGACAACACACGGGTACACAGAAATGCTCGCTAAGGGCCTGCTCATGACAACACACGGGTACACAGAAATGCTCGCTAAGGGCCTGCTCATGATATGAGACAATGGTGACGCTGTCCTGCTTCTGAAGCCTCTCTGGTTTTATCTCCAGACCCCAAGAGACCACAGAAAGGTGCTCATTTTTGAGTGATGCTCAGGAAATGTCTGTCTTTCGTCTCGACTCAGGGCCTGGTACATGGTTTCCCCTTGATGAGACTTGTACCCTGGTGTTAGATGCCACCACAGCTCTTGAGTGAAATGACAGCAGCCAAGGTCCCCTTTGACTCCCATGAAAGCATACACGTGTGAGCAACCACGTGACTCCATGAGATACGGACAAGCTTCACTTGCGTAGCTACAATGCTCCCAGGATGAGAAATGGTACTCCCCAGAAGCAGTTCTCAGACCCCAGGGAACGATTCCAAAGTCAGCATCAAATTGCCATGGATTTGGGCATTGGTGCCACCTACATCCAGTCTGTGGAGGTCAGGGAGGTTGGTCTCTAAGGTGAAGTCCTGGCTTAAGGGAGAGCTAAGGAACCCAGGTCATAGGTAGCTGGAGACAGGTGTGAGCACCCCTCTCCTGCAGCCTCCTGGTAGCTGCGTGAGAAAATTCTCTGGAAGGGGATCATCATGGGAGTCGACATTCAAGTCCACTCGCTGGTCAACATTCTTAAAAAGCAACCACAAGTTGATCTGAAAACTGACAGAGGCAAAGCTCCCCTGAGCCATAGAGACCTGATGTAGAACCAGCTTAGGGTTTCCAGCCACAAGGACTTCCGTGTTGGGAGGGGCCTGGGCTCACAGGGACAAGTCGCTGACCTGGCAGTCCCCAGCCACACTTCACACCAGGACAGTGCACCCCCAGCTGGAGACACTCGGGTCTTTCTCTGACGGTTCACAGGTCACGCAGGAGCCTACGCTGAGACAGAATCAGTGTCTCTGCCACAGAGAGCTGGGGCTGGTGGAGACCGACAGACGGACTCCCTGACTGAGGTCCGAGTATGGCAGGGTTGGCGGTGGTTGGCAGAACTTTGACTGGGTCTTAGTCGGTTGGCTCTGGTTTCATATGATTGCCTGGGTTCCCCTGCGTTTCTGAACAGCAGGCACAGTATGTTCTAGAGAGTGATCTACACTGACCTAAGGCTCTGAAGTCAACAGCCAGCTCAGTACTCAGATGCGGCCCCAGGCTCTTATGTCACTGGGGGGGGGGTCCCCAGTCTACGGAATTATGAACAGCACACACCTCTCCAGGCCATCCTAGAGGTCAGGTCTACTCAGGCTTCCTAAGTCCTCATTTCCATCGTGGGGCTCAGGTCTCCTGACTATAAAGCACCTCACAACATGAGCAGTCCACAAACGATCCTTCAAGCAGATAACAGGACACACTGGCGTCCTACTGGAAAGTAACTTCTGCTGTTACCCAAGAAAGCACGGGGAACCTGAGGCTGCCATGGGCCATCCTGAGAGAAGCTGGTCATCACGTGACTGCTTGGGCATGACAAAGGGGATTGTGGGTATTAGGATCTGCCGCTCATTCTTCTCTGAGCCTTGATCTTCATTTCAGTCCCATCATGCTTAGAGATTGGGGGGCTCAGATGAGGGTGGTCTTTCGCTGTAGCCTGTGACACTGTGTCTGCTTTAGGGGAGTCATAGTGCTGGAAGCCCTGGCAGCATGTTCCCAGCTGCTCCAAGGTGGCCTGCAGAGTCCCAGCTAGAACGAAAGGAACTTCAGGCTGATTAATGCTGTTCCCTGAGCTGGGATGAAATACCCCGTAGGGAGACACAATGGTTAATCGCGATTGTCAGCTTTACTGGACTGAGAGTTTTCTAGGAGACACACTTGTGGGTATGTATACAATCGTGTTTCCAGAGAGACCCCCCCCACCGAGAGTGGGTGGCACCATTTCATGGGCTGGGGTCCTGGACAGAGAAAGGAGCGGGACCCCAGCTGAGCAGTGGCATTCCTTCCTCTCCATTTCTTGGTTGTAGCTATGACATGACCGATTACCTAAAGCTCCTGCCACCACAGTCAGTAACGTTCTAACTGCCACGCCTTCCCCAGCACCATAGACTTCCCCTCACATTGTGAGCCACGACAAACCCTGGCCTCCTCAGCTGCTTGTGCCAAGCAATAGGAACAGTTGCTGATCCATGCAGAGAGCAAGGGTCAGTTTGTCTTTCATGCTGAGAAGGCTCCCGCCACCACTGTAGGGAAGGTGGTGGCAAGCAGGGCCTGTTCACATCTGGTCAGGTCAGGACATACAGACTGATGAATGCTGGTGTACATTTTCCCACACTTATTCAGTCCTGGACCCTGGTCCATGGGATGCTACTGCCCACATCCAGTCTTCCTCTCTCAGACTCTATAGAAAGGCCTCACAGACATGCCAAAGTGCGTGTCATTAATGAGCCAGACGTGACTTCATCCAGTAGAGCTGATAAATAAAACCAAGTGTCATGACATCTGGCAAATGAGCCATCCAGCAGGACTGTCCCCCAACAACTGAGCCATCCTGCAGGACTGTCCTCTATGTATGAGAACCTGGACCACAATGGATCCTGGTGGGTACGTGTGGCAGCCACACCCTTACACACAGTAAGTACACCCTTGGGAGCAGAAGCTGGCTCCCTGCCTCAGCTTTGCAAACTCTGGGAGAGAGTGAGACCCAGGTAGGGTAAAGGTCATGGGGACATTGCATGCTGGGACCACTGTATGCCCTTGGGAAGCAGACTCAGAGTATAGGGCTGCCGTGCCAGGGAGTCTGGGGCAGGTGACATCTGAGCTGGGGAAGTTTCCAAACATTCAATGACAGAAGAGAGATGTAGTGTGGTGACCAGAATGCCCAGGAGCTGCAGAGAGGCAGCCAGGGACAGCTTAGGGTCAGGAAAGGCACCCAGAGGTAGCTCTTGCCTGCGACTATATGGGAAGCTGTCTGGCCCCGTTCTTACCCCACCTCCCGCCCCCATCAGCTGCCCTGTCAGAGAGCACAGGAGTCCATGACCTCCTCCCCTATGCCAAGGTCTATCTGCAGCACTGCTGTGCAGACCGCTGGTCACAGCAGCTGCGGGAGACAAGGGGAAGCCTGGACATACAGCGGGTCAGCCTGCTCCTGGAGGGCTTGAGCTCTCACGAGTGTGGGGCAGCAAGAAAGAGCCACTCCTGACCTACAGCCAGACTCAGCAAAGGAGATTTCAGGCCTTTCAGTAAAGCCTGCAGGAAGGGAAGGGAGGACTTCAAGGGAGGGCATCACCTCCATCCCCCTTTTCCCTACCAGCACACACCCATCACCCTGCCAGGACGGTGGTTCTCACCCACAGGGGTCTCCTACCGGGTATCCTGCATGTCAGACACTTACATGATGATTTGTAACAGCAGCAAAATGACAGTTATGAAGTAGCAATGAGATAATTTTACTGTTGAAGGTCACCACAACATGAGGAACTGTACGGAAGTGTCACAGAGTCAGGAAGGTTGAGAACCGCTGTGCCAGCGGATCTGAGGAAAACAGTGTTTGCATGTGAGCATAGCTATCTGAGCAAACATCACCCTGAAGAGAGCAGTCAACTGTCTCTTCAGCATACACAAAGACAGGACCCTTTCAATCTGTAAATAAGACACTTTGAGACAACCCTGGGACCACAGGACTTGGCTGGTGGCCTTCAGGAGACCTGGATTCTAGCCACTGCCCTCAGGGCTGGATAACCACCAGCACTGTTGCCACCTCCGTGACTGCCCCTCCTCACGTTGCACCACTAACTTACACGAGTGTAAGCGTGTGGCATGTGGCAGGCTCCCCCTCAAGCTGTTGCTTCCTTCCTTCAGGGTGCATGGTACCTCCTGGGATCTCACAGAGCAGAATTTATGACAGTTCTAAAAAGGGGTATCACAGCCATGAGCACCAGCCTAGGGTACAGGGGAGAGGGGCTGCTGATGGCTGCCCTCCGTCTCTCATGGGATGCAGCACACTGGGATACTCCATGATGGCCAGCTTTCATGAAGATCTGACAGGGAAGAGAAAGTATGGTTCTGCCCCAGGGTGGCGAGAGCATCTCTTAGTGAGAGTTAGTCTCTCCCCAGCTGGCTGGAAGGGCCCTCAGAAGTTAGCAATTTTACACAGCTAGAGTTTCCCAGCCTTGGGGATAGCTGTGGCCCCAAGTATGGATGACCATGGTCCCTTGAGGCTTCAAGGCACCCCTAGGGGCAAATCTGAACCAGGGCTCTGGACTGCACGGGTAGAGGATGACAGCTGGCTGTGTTTATAAGAGGTGCATATTTGGATGTACAGGACCTGCTGAGAGCTGCCTGGGACTTTCTTACTGCAGCATCTACTGAGGGTCTCACAGTCTCAGTTTCTTCTGGTGTTAAATGCGCACACTAAAGGGATGCCGGGAATCATTGGTGTTAGATTCCACAGCAATGAAAACCGGCCTGCAGGGAGATGTGAGTGGCCAATGAGCATCCTTCCTGTCCTGCTGGGGTGGGAAGACTAGAAAGGGAAGCAGCATGCCAGATTGGGAAATGGGTAGCATTTCTAGATGCAAATAGAAAACTGGCTAGCACCATGAACACTTTGGTGTAGGCCAAATTTTACAACATGGCAAAGTGTTTCGTCTGAAACAAGAGAGGTATGTTTAACAGAGGAGCCCCTGCCTGTCTTCACATTCCAGGTATATCAAATTCACCATCTTCCTGAGCAGGTAAGAGACGGGCCAGGGCCTTTCAAAGCCTGCTTCCCCTCCAGTTTCCAGTGTCTCGATCAAGCTGAGATGAGGAAGTCATCTGGGAAACAGCCTCCCTTACAGAAGAAATGAGCGGGAAAACCTTACCATGAGCACACCGAAGGACCACCAGTCGGCACTCTGCGTGTGGCCCCGCCGGTTCACCACCTCAGGTGCCATGTATTCGATAGTCCCACAGAACGAATAGGCTCTCTTGTCGTGGTCGATGGCCTCCTTGCTCAAGCCAAAATCTAAACACAAGCACAGCACACACACTGCCTGAGCCTGAGGCACAGCCCCACGTCTATGTGGACAGACCCCTTGATTCACCATCTCAGAGACCTAGGACCTCCAGGACATACTATTCAGGCTGAAGGTGCTTCCAGAGCCTGGCCCTCCCCGTCCCCCATATCACGAGCTCTGTCATAGCAGCAAGGGGCTCACTTCTTGGTAATGAACATGGATTCCCAGAGAGCCTTTCCCACGTATCAGCATGGGGTGATGCAGGCTGAGGGGCCCAGAAGGGGAGGAGTGAGATGTGGTTCTTGCAGGAGGAAAGGAGGCATTGCTGGCACCCGCTTGGGAAGCAGGTGCTTGTTAAATAGACTCAGCAGGTTACAGCGCACGTAGAGATGAGGCCAGGACAGGTCAATGGGTAGGAAAATGGAGCCCAAAGCCTAGAACCTGTGAACAGACTGTCTTACGGTGCAGGCACACAGTATGGATCCTGAGTAGGGTATTAACCGATGGTCCAAGTGACCTTAGGGAGGGGAGAACCATAGAGATTGCAAGAGGCTGGTACAGCAGAAGAGGAGGGGGTCCATGGAAGCTCAAAAACTCAAGGCAAGTGATTCTCCCCACGGGCCAATCTTGACATCTAACAGCTCCAGAATGGTAAAGTGGTAAATCGTGTTTCTGGTAACTTGTTACAGCAGCCACTGGGGGCTGGTATACACATGAGCAGTGGGGAATCACTGGAAGCTGTGTACACACGGGCAGTGGGGAGTCCCTGGAAGCTGTGTACACATGGGCAGTGGGTAGTCACTGGAAGCTGGTGTACACACGGGCAGTGGGGAAGTCACTGGAAGCTGGTGTACACACGGGCCACGGAGGTGAGACGGAATGTTTGTAGCTGGGCTGATTATATCAATGCTACAAGGTCTGGATATAAACAAGGGCAGCTGGGCCGCTGCTGCTGGGAGAGACAAGGCTATGACCACTGGGCAGGCCCTGCATCTGCCTTAAGGGACACGGGCTCACAGCTTCTAGTCAAAGACTCAGGGTTGCTGAGCCTTAGGCAGGTGAACAGGGGAGGTAATCTAAAAGCCTGTGTGCCCCCTTGCTGTGTGCACACGTGTGAGAGCCGGCGCTGCCAGGAAGGAGTCTTAGGTAGGAGACAGAGGAAGTATTTCAGAAGTTGGAGTTTCTCTCTGCTGTGTGTGCGTGCGCGCACACACACACACACACACACACACACACACACACACACACACAGAAGGCCAGCACTTGGGCAACAAAACTTCAGCCAGGTCAGAGAGTGGACAGGGGCTGTTATGAGGTGGTTCACAAATTCATAAGGGATAATCAGTGATGAAGGGAGATAAAGATGTTGTGTGTTTTGTTTGTTTGTTTAACCAACCTGTGATCTTAATATGCCCCTCTTCATCCAGGAGGATGCTGGAAGAAAGGGAAAGAAAACAGACATCAGAGAAACAAAAAAAGACGGAGCTCTCATGGTCCCTTAGCACGTAGAGTTCAGAGAAAAGCCCCTTGGAGCTGAGATGCTTGCCCAATGCTTGGGCTTCTGACAGGCTGCATCCCGGATAGCTTGTCTTATGGTGGACCAGCTCAGGAAGGGAGCAAAAGGCTGTGGTCATGAGACTGGGGGAGACGGACCCGTCATGAGCCTGGAGGAGGGAAACCAAGAATCCTGGTCATGAGCCTGGGGGAGGAGAACCAAGGATCCTGGTCATGAGCCTGCAGGGCTGCATGTTTTTGAGCCTTCAGATTGGAACCCTTGGATCCCTTCACAATACAATAGAGTGGGTTTTCTAACTGTTTTGGCACATAGATGCCTACAGCCTCTGCAGAGGAAATTCCCTGACCCCGGGAAGCCCTCGATGCCCAGAGACCCTCTTCTCAGAATCTCAGACTCTCTTGGCACTGGCCCCAACACTTTGGAGCAATCCTGGCCTCCAGTGAGGGCCATGCACACAGCAGGGGTTCAGCAAAGGGATTTTGAGCTGCCCACGGCTTCATCCTGGTATGGACTCCTGAACTGTTGTCTACAGAGCCTCATGTCGTGGCTGGCCTTTGGGGTGCTCTTCCTAGCGATCCCGCAGACGTGGAGAACGAGGACGGGACATTAGCTACCCTCTCCCTCACACCCTCGGCCCAGGGCACCAACATTTCTACCTGTTTTTAGGACTGTCATAAAGTCTGCTCCATGAGGCCCCAGAAGGTACCATTCACCCTAAAGAAACAAGGAAGTGGCCGGGGAGGGTGTAAACAATACCCCAAGAGGTGGGGAAGCCTGCCACAAGCCTGGGTTTCCACTCACGGAAGACCCTGAGTTCCACATCCAGAAAGACTGTGTCTGCCAGGATTGGGCGGGGTGGAAGAAAGCTGTGCAGAGTGCAGCTGGGACAGTCACAGCTCTGCGGGCTGAAAAGCACTCTGCTGAAGGGACTGTGAGGGCACGTGACACTTGAACTCACTATGGGTACGTGACCCTTGAACTCGCCATGGGTACGTGACACTTGAACTCGCCATGGTCACCTGGCTGTGCCCTCTACCACACTTGAGGGTAAATGCTATTTTCTGTATATTGACAACATGGAAACTATGGGCCACAGGTTTAAAGGATAGCCAGTGTTTTCTGGGAAACGTTAGCATATTAACTAACATGCTGAGTTATAATTAAAGAAGCAGATGTTTAATGTTTTCATCTTTGCTTCTCAGTCATACTGAGTCTTTGCACAGAATTAAGCAAATTCAAAATTCATTCCCAAATAATTCTAATTGGACCACAAAATCTTTGTTTTTATCCTGTAATTAAATGTTACTATCTTTAGCTTCAAGAACCAGCTCAGCCTTTACAAGTGAGTGGGAGCCAAGGTCCTGATGCCCAGAACGGCTCTGAGCATACAGAAGTCTTCTGTAGGGGTCATAGCTGCAGCACAGATTTGTATAAGGCTCATGAACTCCATTGAATTAATGTGAGGTAAGCTTGTGATAAGCTTTGCGTGAGCCCTGGGAGGAAGCCAGGCTCGGTGGTCACCTCCTGGGGGGTGAGGGGTACAGGGGATGCTGTCAGCACTAAGAGACATGATATCCAACCTGCTCTGAGGTGTCATTCTGACCTCCTGCTCCTGCCCATGGAGGGGTCAGGTATAGGTCAAAAGTTCCCATTCCCGCTGAGCTCCTGAAGAGAGGGCCTTCAGGGTCACGTCTCCACAGATTCATAGGATCAGTCAGTGATAATTTGTTGACTGATAGGTGATCAGAGCTACCCACTGCACACACTTCACTCCGTCAAACCCAGATGACAGCTATGTCTTCAGAGAAGCAGCTGTCTTCCTCCAAGGGCAGTGTGGGTGCAAGAGAAGGAGAAGCAGGGTGATGTCCATCCTGACTACGTGATATCTTGAACTCAAGGTATGGCTTTAGGCTGTCCTGGTTTGGAAACGTCTCAGAGGTGGCACGACAGCCAGGGACACCGTATGACTGGTCACAGGCCCCTCCTAAGTCCTCTCTTGTCTGCATGAGTCAGTGCTAGCTCCTGTGCGTTCTGCTACTCACAGACCATGCAGGAAGAAAATCAGAACCCTGAATCCCATTACTTTGCAAGGTAGTTCCTGTTTTCATTTAGACTACAGCAGAGATGAAAATATACACACTGACCTGGGGCCCTGGGGCCACTGCCCCTCAGCTGATCCCGTGAGAGAACTAATCTGACCCATCTACTAGCTAGCCATCTCAGAGGAGGCAAACCAACCATATCCCTAGAGCTTAGAGCAGCAGCAGGAAGGTGTCCAAGCCTGAATGACAGCAGGCGGGAAGAGGCGGTGATGGGGACAATCTCTTGTGTGACATGGCTCTAGGGGGTAGCTGCTGGGCAGGGGAGAGTTATGTGTGAAGAAGGGATGTGGCCTGGCCTCCCACAGTGGACAAGCCTACCCTGCCTTTGCTGAGCACCTGTGCAAGGTAAGGTGGTGACATCTGCTTAGCCTTCTTGGAACTCCAGCACTGGACCCACCCCCATGTCACGGTGCCCAGCCCACTCAGATCCTAGGTAACAGCCACTGGCGTGGGCTGGCAGCAGATGCCCCAGCAGGCTGTGAATGCCTTTCCCCTTACTTCTCTGGCTTCAGATCCCGGTAGATGATCCCCAGGCTGTGAAGGTGGTCTAGGGCCAGCGCCAACTCAGCCAGGTAGAACTTGACATCCTCCTCGGTGAACATGACCTAGAGGGGTGGGAAAGGACCAGGGTTCAGCTTCTCCCACGACTGCTTGTTTTAAAGCATGCATCGCAGAAACCAGAGCTGTCCCAGAATACGTGTGTGGAGATCCTGGCTCTCCCATGATGCTTTCCCGCCACTCCTACTGCAGGAGACTTCTCACGGTTGCAGACTGTGCTCTTACGGAGCTCATTTGGTCAGCCTTGTGAACACAACCTCAGCCCACCACCAACTGCCCTTAGCCGACAAACTGCTCAGGCTGCAGTGTAACCCCGGGATCCCGTCTTATGAGGGATGCTCCCGTGTGAATTCAAGATGGTTAGCGGTTGGAGGACTATAGAAAACGGGTCTCCAATTTTGCCTTTCTCCCTCCCCTCTTCTACCTGTCCCTGGGCTGGTGTGCAAACTGGCAGCCTAACCACCTGCCCTCTGCACAGAGGGATGCATCCTGCCAAGTACAATGTGTTGGTTGGAGGGGAGCCTGTGATTGTTGGGGTTGGTGCTGCATTCCAGGCTGGTTATGGTATCAGGACGCCTTGGAGCCAGGAGCCTTCAGTACATTAGCTTTGTCCTGTCCTGCTCACGCTTCTGCAGTAATCTCAATGGGAAGGCAAGTCCTTGCATGTTTTTGTATATATGCATGTGTAGGCATACAGATGTTTTTGCACGTATGTGCATAGAGGTCAGAGGTTCATCTCAGGTATCTTGCTTGGTCATTCTCCACCTTATTTTTTGAGAAAGGAAATCTCACCAAAACAGAGCTCACCAATTTGGTTACACTTGGCTGGCCCTGTGATGTCATGATTCCATACTCTGCTCCCCAGTGCTAAGAGCACAGGGTGAGCTGCTGACCCAGCCTTTTGAGATGGGTGGGTAGAGACCCCAACTCTTAGGTCCTCATGCTAGCACAGGAAGTGCTGCCTTCATGGGACCATCTCCTCAGGTTCCTCACAAAACACTCACCAAGAGACATCCTTGCTGAAGAGACTGCACTCCACATTACCACTACATTTTCTTTGAAAGCAGACACACAAAAAAACCCACATGCAAACTGAATGTGGCTTGAGACCAGAGCTAAAATGTGTGGTGAATGTCACCAGCCAAGCAGACAGGGCTCAGTTGCTAGTAAGGAGACCTGTCTTAGGTCCTACAAAGTGTCAGCTGGTACCCCTGGAAGTGGGAGCCAGCCCTGGACTATAGACCCTCCTCCACTCCCAGCACCCTTCCACCCCATTCTATTTCCCATGTGTGACCAGCACCTCTCCGCTTGCTGGTTTCCTTTCTGGATGCATTGACACCAGTTAATGCATCCAGTAGGTTTTGCAGTCAAATCCCATCACGTTCCAAGTTCCCCTTCATGATTGGATTCACCTAATACACAGAGTTATCATCTCTCTCTGCTTTCCTACACCTCAGGGTACGTCTTGCAGAGTCCCCAAACCCACTTTTAATCTACTGCCCACAGGTGAGTCCTTGAAATCAATCATGGTGGCCACACACACACAGACTACTGTCCAGAGCTCTGCTGAAGGAGAGAAGGCAGGAAAAGGCCTTTTAAGCTGTCATCCCCCCAACTCCCAAAGAACCCATGCACCCAGATGTGGCCACTTTATCCCTCTGCAATAATAATCTATATGTCCCATTGTAAGGAGGTACAGGGCTTTTGATCAAGAAGCCCAGCTACAGGCTATCTCATCAGATACTGAACAAAAGAAAACCACAGGTCTGGGTTTCTTGGCTAAGAGAAGTAGAGGATCCCATCATCAGAGTCCTGAATTTCTGCTACATGTGCTATTGCTCCAGGGACCTCCAGGACACAAAGGGGGAATAGCTCCAGTCTCTAGGAGCCCTCTCCCATCTGGCCACACGCTCTACCTTGATCTGCTAGTTGTCTAAGAAAGGCACAATGTAGACGCTCCTGAAAGCCTGGGAAGGTGGAGGGAAAGGGGACGATTTGAACACCACCATCACAGGCAACAAAAAAGTACTCTGTGGGGAAAACGCGAGGCACATCCCGTCAGCATGCTGCTGGACCTCTTGTTCTTTGTACGGAGCCTTCTGAAATCATTCAAATGAGAGACAAGAATGTTGCTGCTATAGACAGAATTCTGGATTTCCTTATCCTACAAAGCTGGCCCCGTGCCCCTCAAGTCATGATGGACATAGTACCTTCACAGTACAGTTCTGGAGAGTTCTCCTTGAAGTGTTGGTACACAGAATTAACTCTGCAGCTAGACACGAATGAGGCTCATGCAGTGAGAAAAGACCTGACAAGATGTTCCAAAACAGACACATGGAGACTACTATCCAGGGAGAGGTCCACATGGTGTTAAGTGTGCCTTCCCAGGATGGGAAGTGAGAGGCCATCAAACGCCGTCATCCCCACATGGTACCACAAACTGTGTTAGAAGGTTTGCTGATGCAGCCGTGCAGATCTTACTCTGCAGCTCAGGCTGGTAGTGAAGTCCAAATCCTGCCTCAATTTCCTGACTGCTGGGCTATGGGTGTGTGTAGCCATAGCTGGTGCACACACATTCATAGGACATCATCTACCACACACTTCGCATCATACAGGCCAAACGCCACACACGGCACGTTACACACACTAAATGTCCACATCACTCAGCCTACACATACCTCACACACCCATCCCCAAGATGCACTTCCCTTCCTGTTTTCCAAGACAGAAAGTCACCATGAGCTGCAGGGTCACTTACCTCTTTGGAAAGCCTGGTAAAGAGGTCCCCTCCCCGCAGGAAATCCAGAATCAGGTAGAGCTTGCCTTCGGTCTGAAAGGCTGTGGGAAGAGATATGGGGTTGAGCACTTCTCCAGCAAACACTGTTCTCTCTGACCCTGAATCTCTGTTCTTCCCAAAGCCCAGCGTCTCTGCAATTCAACAAGGCTGTGAGCCTGGAGAGCTGCCATTCATTCAGACGGGCATCACTGACCACTGAGACAGGGCCCAGCAGAAGAGGAGGGGGCTAGGTTCAGTGTTCCTCACTTTGTTGGGTTTTAGAACTTCCTTTATCCTTCTCCTCCATCCTTATCCCTTCTAGTCACAAAGTGACTGAGGGACGCGGGGAGAGAAAAGTCCGTGTTCAAGTGTGTGCCCACCGCTGGCATTACTGAGTAGGCTTCGCTCACGGAGACTGTGATAGGCAGAAACTTACTGAAACATTGACAGGAGACGGTTCTGATAAGCAGGAGGCACACTTCAGTTCCCTCCTGTGGAAGCGCATTCCTCTACCCAGGGACCAAGATGACCATCATGGATCCTCTCCACTCCAGTAATGTGGAGAACGGCTTTGCCTGCCTCTCTATGTCATGCATGACATGAAGTTATTGGTAGCGACTCCATAGTCTACACAGCTCACCCCCAGGACGTACCAAAGGCACACCTCGGAGCGAGGGGTCCCTGAGCACATAAGGACCTAGAGAACAGAGTCCCGTTATTGAGAGTCTGCCAGCACTGGCGGCCAGGTCAATGTCAGAGAGGGTCAGCAATCATGATGGTCAGGCCAACACCAGGAAGCCATCTATCACTTCTCATCAGGTTCTACACACAGGGTGCCAGGTCCGAGGGTCCTGCTACTTCTGTGTATTGAAATTTTTTATTTCACTTCTAAAAGTTCCAGAACCATTATAAATGCTGGCATTTAGAAACACAGCTGCTAACTAGAAGACCCTTTGTGGGGGATGCGTGGCCTGCAGTGGATGCAGTGTGGGCCTTGAGGGGCAGTGGAAACAGAAGCAATGCATGCAGAACAGCTGTTGAAAAGTCTGTGTAAGATGCCCAGCTCTTAACTTCCTGGTGAGAACAGCCTGACCCCCAGCACACAGCCTGGAGATGGACGATCCTGAGAAGATCTGCAGGGCCCGAGTAGGGCTGACATGCAGATTTGAGAAGCACTCAGTAAATAAAGGGCTTACTCGGTTTCAAAAATGAAACACTCCAGATGGCAACTCCAGGTTTTGCTCTGACCACAGCCCACCAGCAGCTGGAACTGTACGGGAGTCGGGGCGGGGGGCAGGGGGGAGACTTTCCTGCCTTACTGCTGCCGGCAGAGGGTGAGGCTCCAACCACAGCTGCCGTGGCTGGGAAGGCTGAGGGTTCTACCCCGCCCTCAGTCCACAGAGGAGCCAGCTTTTGTTCTTTCTGGAGGAGGGTACACCGTGTGACTCAAGACAGGCCTGAACTGTTCTTGGTCTTTGGAAGTCTCCCCATTTCACCCCAGGGCATTCATGCCTTTGCTTCCTGTTTCTAGGAACCTCTGACTGTGCTGTGGTTCTTCCGTGACCTCTGTTCGTATGAACCCCTTAACAAGCAAAGTGTGCTGTGGGGGACACGGCTGAGGAACCACCAACTTCTGGATTCTTCCCGCTGCTCCTCAGATGAGATGCAAAGGCAGAGAACTGGTGTCGGGTAGTGAGGCAGGTTTTGCTCTGAGCCTCAAGAGCCTGAGACAACCGCCTTCCCTGAGCGGCAGTCTGAGGGTCACTCCTTGGCCCTCCCTCTCTTCATCCACTTTGAAGGTCAGGGTCGGTGATCAACACACCCTATCCTGAGCACCACTGGGTGTGCCATTGTGTCTCACCATGGTGGAGTCCCTTGTACCAGATTAGCAGTGGCAATGTCACCATGATGGGCAGCCCCACCTCACAGTCTTTGGGATGAAGAAGGGCATCTTGCTCTTTCAGGAGAAAGAAACAGGAAAGAGACTGAAGAGTAGGGATTTAAGGGACCGTTGTCTCCGCATGAGACAGGATTCTGACACAAGATCGTCTTCTTTTGCAGCAATTATTATCATCACGGTCTCCTCTGATCAAAGACACCACCCTAGGGATCAAAGCATACCACACCTGCTTCCCTTACCATAATGCAGCTTGACGATGAACGGGTGATTGACTTCTGCCAGGATGTCTCTCTCCATCTTAGACCTGACCCGGTCCCGCACTGCACGACAAAAACAAAGGCTTTCAGAATGCACACGGAGAGTTCGGGGGCCCCCCCGATACCCAACGGCAGACGAGCCAGTGCAGAGCCAGCCGCACACTCGTGGAAATGTGGAGCAGAAGCATGGCCACCCTCACCTGCGCCTAGGTCTAAGGAATACATACATGTTGACACATTTGCTTCCTTGTTGCTAGCTCCTTTTCTTTATACCAGAAACACTGAACATATATTGTAGACACCATGACATTCTCCTTGTAGGAGAATCGACTCGTACGCCTTAGGATTGAGGGGTGCTCCTCACTGACTCTAGTGTCCCATCTCCTGTGGTGTCTCTGGCTTCCAGGCCTCTCATGCCCACCATCTGCAGCTTACTTCCTCAGCCTTGGGTCTAGTCAAGGGCTATTTCCTTATTGTGTTGGTAGCTATGGTTGTATTTGATTTGCATCCAGAAGAGAACAATCTTCCTCCTGCCCCCAACTTTTTACTAAGTCCAGGCCAGCTTTCTTGTAGAACGGTCCACATCCAGGTCTGTCTGACTGGAGCTCAGCTGCTTCCTCTAACTTGTATTTCTCACAGATTGAGGTCAGGTCTGGTGTCTCTACAGGATTGCAGTTAGACACTTTTGGTGGCAGAAAAGGCCTCTACCTTAACCTTCTGGGACTGGGAAGAGCCTGTGGGGCTGACCCTCTCCAGGTGATATCAGCTGGGTGAGGGAGAGGAGGAGCTGGCAAGGACTCAGCTCTCCAGGTCAAGATCTGGTACCCCTCTTGTAAGGGAGAGCAGCCCAGGGAGGGACACTCTGGCACCTGGTGACCTGTGCAATCCCTAACTCTCACTCAATGGCGTTAGCATTCATTTAGGGTCCTTGCTGAAGCATTCCAAGTTCCAAAACGATACTTCTTCCATTTCTGATGCAAGAGGAAATAAGGGGCTAACTCCTTCTCTCCCCGTCAGGATGACTGTGGACCAAGGAGGTAGAGGGTGTGTGTGTGTGTGTGTGTGTGTGTGTGTGTGTGTAGTACAACATTCTTTTCAGTGTCCCCACTGTCTCACATTCAGCCATCTGGAATACAGACGTAATTAGTTCTGAGGCAAAACAAATGAACAGAACAGAGATTGACAACCACTTGAGAATAAGAGCAACGCTCAGACTCCACAGGGTACCTGGTATGCCCAGGTCCGCGTGACCTCCTAGGACCTCTCTGAGTGAGGGCTGAACATCTGGAATGCCTGCAGTGGCAAGAGCATCCTACTACACTGTTCATCACTATTGGAATGGCAGCACACACGCCAAACGTGTTATTAAAGAAATCCTTGCTCAGGGATGGTGTAATGATAAAAAGTGGACTATGCCCAATGCTGGCGGTTGTGGAGAAACTGGAACCCACGTGTGACGCTAGGAATGTAACATGGTACAGTCATTGTGGAGCAGGTAAGCAGAGTGACCATGGAACCTAGCAGCTCTGTTTCTAGGTACCTATCCACAAGATCAGAAAGCAGTGACTTAGATATCTGTGCAGCCATGTTCACATCAGCACTACTCAGCAGACAAAATGTAACACACACATGGTGTGCGCATGACAGAGCAGTGCTCTGCTCCAAGGGGACATGATACACACATGGTGTACAGAGTATGGGGTATTGCTCTCCTGTGCCAGGATTTGCCAGGATTTCGAGAGGATGCACCATTGTGGGGAGCAGCAAGAACAAAAAGTGACAGAAGACAGAGCATGAAAGAAGCACACTGCCCAACACTGAGCAGCCCCAGAGCACCCACCAGGGTGAGGGCAGTGAAGGATCATCAGACCCTAAGAGACCTCACTCTTCCTGGAGTCCGCAAGAGAAGTCCAAGCCCAGTCATGTCTTTGGAATGACTTTTGCAAGTTTTTCTCTGCAAAGGTCATTTTCTCTGCACGTGTCTTGCTATGGAGCCCAGGGTGGACTTGATCTGAACCCTCTTCCTTCACATTTTTTCAAGTCTATTATTTTAATTAAATAAAAAAAATTTCATCTGTTTGCTCTTGGAGAAATACTCCCCAGATAAAAAGAAGGGTGCTTGCCTATACCAGGTTGACAGCACCTTCTTCCACACCCTGGAGACTCCAGAGTGGGTATCTCCTCTGACCATGGCTCCCAGGGGAAATCAACAATGGCGGAAGAAGTAGAGGGTAGGTGTGGAGCTTCTCTGTCTTCTCAGCCCCGAGACACAGATTAGGGCAGACAGAAATACAGAAGAGTTTCGGGGAGCTGATAAAAAACCAACCTGAAACCTGTTTGTTCTGTGAAAAATACAGCTCATGGCAGTTAATAAAGACTGTGGTGAAGAATGGATATTCTCTCAAAATAAAAGAGAATAGAGGAGAACTCAGGCTCTGACTCTGAGAAACCCTTTGGCATCAATCAAGTTAGCATCCACAGGGGAAATCATTTCTGCGGCCGGGAGCTCCAGGCCAGCTGCTATGGGACTGGGGTGCCTCTCTCTCTATATGCTGGGCCAGGGCGTATTTTCCTATTGCCTCAGTCACGCCTGGCCAGCCTTCTTGCACCTAGGCCATTCGTCCCAGCAGAACGTACTGGCTCTCATCTCTCGCGCCTCTTCCCTATGGGAAAGTTCCCACTCCATGACCCGGTGAATCGCGGTGGCAGAGAAAGGTGACTCTATCTCTCGTGCCTCTTCCCTATGGGAAAGTTCCCACTCCACGACCCCGTGAATCGTGGTGGCAGAGAAAGGTGACTCTAGCTCTCCGCCATCTCTCCAAGGCCTCAAATCAGGTAACCGTCGTCTGAAAAGCCGCTAGCCATCCTCAATGTCCTTGAGCTTGCTCAGTTTGAACAAAGATCAGAGTTTAGCCACCTGTCTCCCAGGTGAAGAAGGAAGTCTCCAGCTTTAGAAGGTTTCCTTCATGACAGAAAATGGTCTGTGAGCAGCAGAGTTCCTAGATATTTGGGAGTCAAAACATTTTGCAGAAAATTACCCCCTGCCCAAGAAGAGAAGAAACCCACAGATAATCAAGGTGACGGCGTGGGCTGCCTAACCAGGCCTAATTCCCCAAGACCTGCTCTTTGTTTCTTCACATGGAACTGTCTCAATGACATGACAGTTAAAGTCACTCCTTCCAGAAATTCTTCCCTCTTCTTGGTTCACACTGTGCAGACACTGAAGACAGTGGGTACAGAGCAGGGTCTAGTCCTTACATTTACACATCTGTATGTCCAGAGGTGCAACCCTGCCAACAACACACGATGGACTCCAGGGTACACAAGCGGGCAGGTCAACAAGCAGTCAGAGTCTTCCGCAAAGAAGGTGTTTGCCACATAAGAACCATAGGGCTGGGGTTTGGTTTAGCAGGGGCTGAGAGCTGAAGGAATACAAGGGGGTATTCTCACTCTGCTTTTCATCAGGATAGCTCATCGGGAGAAGAAACCCCTGAAAGAGTAAATACTTGAAGCACAACAAGTCAGCAGATGGTTCCCTGACGAGGAGATGGAAGGAGGCCGAAACGCTGGGAGTGAGGAGGACACAGAATCCTGGCCTCTGACATCCCTGCATAATGTGGTTTGGGGACCTTTGCTGCTCAGTCCCCTCATGCTGAAAAAGGGGCACTTAAAACCTGTGTTTGGAGTGTTCCTCACATACCCTGCTACCCGCCCTCCCCAGAATTTGAAATCACTCAAATGGGAATTGAACGGCATAAATGAGTTAGCTTAGAAAGACAATCTGTTCAGATGCAGACAGCCGCTGAGGCTGAGTCTCTGAATGAGTCAATGTTTCTAACGAAGCACCTCAGCTAAGACAGAAACAAACACAGAAGAGCTGAAATGAACACTCTGCCGGCTGGAACCAGCTCCAGCCAGGGACGATGTCAAGATGTTGCCCACGACACAAGAGCCATCAATGCATGCCTGCACTGGTCACCAGAGTCCTGCAGGCATGCGTGTCTGTGGAGCTATGAGTCAGTACTCTTATCCCACGGCAGCAACGTCGTGAGACGCGGGCTCTGCCGACAACACCCTGCCCGTGTCCCTTTCCCTCCTGTCACTCCAGTCCACGCTTCCCAAAGACCCACCCCTCAGCCACCAAGGGTCACAGCTGCCACTACAGTGACTGTCCGTCGGCCGCTTTGCCTGCTCAGAGAGTGGGCCAGAAGGCACTATTGTTCTTCACAATCAGCAGAACACAGTTTCCTTCTCGGAGGAGAACGTATGACCTTCAGGAAGAGAGCATTGACCTCCAGGGAAAACGACTACAAGCTAGGTCTGAAAACACAGGTAAGAAACGCTGTCGAATTAGCCCTGCAAAGGGACGCCACACTGGAGGGACGGCTGCAGGAACAGGAGCTATGTGCCGCCTGTGGGACAAGTCACCATGAGTCCTAATCACAGCCACTAACTGCTTCAGGTCATTTATGGCAGGAGCACAGCCTGACTGGGACAGCATTCTCCTAAGCAGACGGCACTCTGCACAACGGATTAAAGTGAGTGCTGCTGCCATTTTGTGTCCCTGGGCCAAATCCAGACCAGGTGATCCCCATGGAGAAAAGGACAGAGAAGCATCCGGAAGGGGTATGTGGTGGTGACACTCCAATACGCTGAGACTGGCTGTTACACCATTGGTGCTGGAGAAGCTACCTCCAGCCCTGCCTTAGCTCAGCGACCATGGGGCCAGGAGAGGCTTCCCAGGTGGCATAGCCAGGGGAGTCAGCGCTGGCTGTGTCTCCAGCCTGGTTTCCTAATCTGAACTATGTACCAAGGAATCTCCACATTGCCATGAAGAGAGGCAGAAGGGAAGTTTAAGATTCTCCAACTCGACCTTCCATGAAGCCCCAGGCACCTGCAGCAGGGTGATCTACTAGAAAGCCACTGTCCCAATCAATAAGGACATCTCTCATGGCAGTAAAGGCGCCCTCTTGCTAGCTCATGGACTGCACAGAAGAGTTCAGACCCGCTTAATGTTGGGGCTCATGGGAACAGGTTAGTGGGCAGAGCATTCCCTCCGTCAACCCCTCCATCACTGAGCAGGACACCACACTCCAGGGTTCCCTATATTTCAAGCACACAACACAAAACTGTTGCCCACAGTCACTTCATTCTGACACAAAACTGTGCCAAGTTCAAGAACACAAGAAACTATCAAAGTCCGTAAGTAGCAGCATCCTGTCACGATAGGATAGTTGACGACGGGACCCTAGCTGGGGTGGCGGCAAGCGCACACACCTGCTGTTTCTTTTCTCTTCCGGCTTCGGCACAGTTGACCTCCCTTTAGAAACGGCTTGTCACCTTTGTAATGAAAGGAGGGGGCTATGCCTGGAATTCCACACACGAAGGTAAAATAGAGCCGTGAGAACCGCCATTCTTGTTGTCAAGGCATGAGGACTCCCGCTGACAACAGTCCTCCCCCTGCACACATGGCCGCCACCGCACGTGAGAAACAGTCGATTTCCGCAAGCGCCTGCCCCTTCTCGTTTCCTTCTCAGAATGACTTTGCTATTCAGATGAGTTCCAGTTCCCTCTGCAACTGTCCTTGTGGAGCTAGTGATTGGCAAGAGGAGGGCACACCGTGGGTGTCACACACAAACCTTCTCTCTCCAAAGCTGGGGCCGTGGCGGAGGCGGGGACTGGAATTTGAGTAACTCAGGATAACAGGATGCAGAGAAGTTGGAAACAAAACAAATTTGAATGTTCCTTTGTGTAGACTCTCTTCTTCCAGTTGTGAGAGAGCGCAGGTGTGTGTGGGGGGGAGAGGTCCTGTGGGAGTACACGGGAGGCCAGGGGGTTCGTTCTACCCCCACGTGATGCATCACCATGTCTTATGGTAACTGAGGCGCCTCCATTTTCTCTTAAGAGACACTATTGGATTTCTGGGGGCAAATCTATTCCTCGGTGATAGCCTGTTATAGAAAGCTGAAATAATAAGAAATGTAAAACCATGTTTGGTATTAGCAGACTTCAGAAGAGCACAAGGGGATGGGGATTTTTCCCATTCCTTTTTGCCTACATGGCTCATCTTCACAATATGTAAGGGATTACACACTGTTCTAGAGTACTTGTTTTTAAACATTATAAGACACCCGGGATAGTCTGAATGTGACTGGCTCCTATATGCTCATAGGGAGTGGCATTATTGGGAGGCATGACTTTGTTGGAGTAGGGGTGGCCTTATTGAAAGAAGTGTGTCACTGTGGGGTGGGTTTTGAGTCCCAGTGCAAGGAGTCCAGTTCTTGTTGCCTTCTGATCAAGATGTAGCCAGCACCATGTCTGCCTGCATGCCGCCATGCTCCCTGCCATGATGATAATGGACTGAACCTCTGGAACTGTAAGCCGCCACCTCAATTAAATCTTTTCTTTTATAAGAGTTGCCATGGTCATGGTGTCTCTTCACAGCAATAGAAACCCTGACTAAGACAGCACCAGATATGAGGGGTTTATTGTTGATAACTTGAGATACAATTCATAGAGATAAAAATAAAAGCTGTCAATAATTTGGTAACTAGAAAGAATTGTTTATATGTCCACAATATCCTTGCCAGTGTGGACATGGGTGTGTATGTATGTGTGTATGTGTGTGTGTGACTGTGTGTACATGTGTGAGACTATGTGTATGTGTGACTGTGTATATGTATGTATTTATGTGTATGTGTGTAACTGAGTATATGTGTATGACTGTGTGTATGTGTGCTTATAACTATATGTGTGTGTGACTATGTATATGTATGTCTTTATGTGTATGTGCGTAACTGAGTGTATATGTGTGACTGTGTGTAACTGTGTATATGTATAACTGAGTTTGTGTGTGTGTGTACATTTAACACAGGGTCAGGTACTCATTATATTCATTCAGGAGATGTAGTTTCATATCCTATGCACAAAACTGGATTGGGAGCCATTTCTCAAGAGCACTTCTGCTTGAATTATAAATGATTTCAAAGGCTCATCACGCAAAGCAGACTGAAATTATGGGCTGAGCATCATGGTCAACCCTAATGGAACAAAGGGCAAATGAGTGCTGAGTCAGAGCATAGCTGGTCCTTCACGTCTGCATCTGCAGCACAGGCTGGGCACTGCAGCCCTCATCAGGGGCTCCCACTGCACCCTGCTTCACCTCTATCTCAGAGCTGGGAGGAAGGAGGAGGACGCATGAGCACCAAACCACACACCCATCAGGGCGAACAGCACTGATGTTGGTATCATTCACCTTCTTCTGTCCTCAGTCCCAGAGGGCACCTCATCTGGACCATAGCAGCATTCCATTGTAAAACATCTCTCCACCCCTGAGAAGTTCAGGCCCGTGAAGAATTCAAGCCTGTGTCTCCAGCCCCTACTCTGAAGCCACGCTTGCACAAGCTGCCTCTGAGGGACAGTGTCCAGTTAGTTTCTATGGCTGCAGTAAAACCAAAAGGGACTTGGGAAGAAAAACAATTATTTGGCTTACACACGCAGATGGCACTGAAGGAAGCCGGGACAGGAAGTGAAGGCAGGAGCCTGCAGACAGGAACTGAGGTAAGCCCACCGAGGAGTGCTGGTTACTGCTTTGCTCCCCAAGGCTTGCTCAGCCTGTTTTCTCAGACAACCCAAGCCCATCTACCCAGGGGTGGCACCAACCCCAATGGGCTGGACCCTCACACATTGGTCATTACCAGGAGAAGGCCCCCACAAACTTGCCTGCAGACCAAACTGGCAGGGGCATTTTCTCAGTTGAGGTTCCCTCCTCACACACCTTTAGCTTGTACCAAGATGGCAAAACCGGCTCAGCCAGCCTGTCCTCAACATCCAGAGAGTGGAAGCATCAGATACAAACTCTCCTCAGCACTATCTGCACGTCTGTCCATGGTGCAGACAGGCCACGTGACAACCACTATGGATGAGATGATAAAATGCTGGAGAGGGGGAGGGGTCTCCAGGAGAAGGCACTGAGTCGGAGTGAAGAGTCCGCCATGGAAGGATGACAACAGGAGCAGGAGGCAGCTGCTCGTGCTGTGTTCACAACTGGGACGCGGAGCGCGGTGAACGCTGGGGCGCAGCTTCCGTTTCCCGTGTTATATTTGGCCCATGGGTTGGTGTCACCACACCCAGGATGATCACCTCAGCTGGACCTCTCTGGAAACGTCTGTATAGACACTGGGGTGTGGATCTTCAGGTGATGGTGGTGATGACAAAGATCACACCGGCGTTTGCGCTCAAGGCTGTGGTTACAGGGCTGTGCTGCTGGCCCCGTGGAGCAGCCGGCTCACAGGACGACGTGTTTCAATGCTGAACAACCGCAGGAGCAGTTTCTTTTGAGGACTTCCCGATGATCTTAATGTAACGTCTGTTTCTCTGAGACAATCCTAGTAAAGTTTATCTTATTAAATTCTGGAGTTGTTTCCCATATACTTTCTTGGCCAGAAAGAATAACTGTACAACATTTTTGTGAAGAATTTTGGGCAGTCTCACCATGTTCAATTGATAACCAGCAATAATGACATAATGCCACCGTAAGATTATGCTGGCTCTGAGAAACATGCCTTTGGTGGTGGATCTGAATGATCTAGGAGAAGCCACATCCCAGGTTCACTCCTACGAATCCGTGAGCCACAAATCCGTGTTGACAATGGCCTTCCCTAGGCGTACTCAGATGACAGATCATGCCCAGGATGTCAGAAGTAGTCGATATTTACATTTTCTGACCATTGACAACATAATTCATCTCTTTTGTGGAAGAAAGATCACCCATTCTAAAGTCAGGCCTGGGATCTCACACACCTGCTCAACATAAAAGCCGTCTCCCTTGAGAGAATTCTTTCTGCCTGTATACAAGACGTTTGCAATCTACAGACACTTCGTCCATGCATCTGTCACCCTATGTCACCGGCTATCTGTGGCGTGAAACCATAAGCTTTATCTCCCCAGCTAGACAGACAGCAAGTGAGTTGAAGGCTCAGAATGACACATTCTTTGGAGTCCTCTGCTGCCAAGGACAGTACGTTTCAAGACCCACAAATCCAAGTGTCCCCTGACATCTGCTGAGTCTCCCAGCATCCCAAGGGTCTAAGCATGGGCTTCCCTCACTCAGGGTTCCACCTCTGTGAGGCCAGCACCCATCACTAAGAAGCTGGATCATGTGTCCATGCTGGTGTGAATTTCGTGCTGGTCAGGGCCTGGACCACCCTCGGCTATGACAGACAGACTGAAGAGGGGGGATCAGAGGGAGGCTGGTAAGAGTGAGACCGAGTCCGGGCTTGGGACAGGCCCTGGGGTTTAAGGCTTACCCGCACTGGGAGGATGGGCACAGCGGAGGCTGCGTATCCCCGGCCACTGGGGCCACTAAGGAGCACAGCACAATCGTGCATCGAGCTTCCTGGGAAACTGAGCAACCGCCGTGGCGGTCTGCTGTGGAGCCACACAGAGGAACAAATGGCTTCCTTCCCGCTGCTCTTTTCCCGCATGGCTCTCTGCAGCAGAGCATGTGAGATGCTACTGATGCAGCGAGCTCCCTCTGAAAGCCAAACAAACTTTGCAGAGATGGCAACAACACCCAAGAAATGCTGGCAGCTTATTGCCCAGAGTGGTGCCCCGTGCCCTCCCCTGGGGTTCCTGAAACCACGAAGACTGGGTAAAGCCATTGTGTCCTCAGATTGCCCAGGGAAGACTGCCGTAATGTCTCAGAAGGAACTGGCCCCTCCCAGGACCCTTACCTTTCAAGGTGGCTTTCTTCAGGACCTTCATGGCATAGAGCTGACCAGCGTCGGAGCCTGTGACCTTCCTCACCAAGAACACCTGAGGAGCAGAAAACACACTGGCTGTCTGTGATGGTTAGCTTTGTAACTGGACACAGCCTAGACTCACCAGGAAGAGACCCCTGAAGGATTGTCAACACCGGCCTACCTGAGCGACTGTCTATGGTGGGCTGTGCAGACCCAGCCCACAATGGGCGGCACAGCCATAGGCAGGGGTGCTGAACTGCATGAGAGTGGAGAAAGAGACGCGGACAAGCTAGCAAGCTAACAAGAGGGCATTCCCCGGACAAATTTCTCTCTGCTCCTGACTGCGGATGTGATGTGACCAGCCATCTCAAGCCCCTGCTGCTGTGACTGCCCTATGGTACCAGACTGTGGAATTCTGAGGTGGAATAAACCCACTCTCCTCTAAGATGCTTTTGTCAGACAGAGTACGCCATCACAACAGCAGGGATGACACAGGACGCTATCCCAAATTATCACTAATTAAGAAAATGCCCTACAGCTAAATCTTATGGAGATATTCTCTCAGTTGAAGTTCCCTCCTTTAAGATAAATTCTAGTTTGTGTCAAGTTGACATAAAACCAGCCAGGACAAGATTCTAGCTGTGGGCAGCAGAAGCTCACCCAGTTATTTTGTTTTTAGTTGCTGGCTCTTAAGCACATTCGTGTGGATATTTAACATTCTCTGAGACACTTCTGACACATGGAATAAATCAACAAAACAAAAGATACCTGAGAGAGGCTGAGCTTAAGGCAATATTACTAATTTTTTAAAAATATTAATGAAGAAAATTGCTGAGTATGAAAAGGAATGTTCCACACGAATGAAGAAAGTGTCGTTTTCCTAAAGGGCTCCCCACTGTAAGCCCCGATTGGTAACAGAGCCCACAGCGGCACCCAGGGCTGTGCTGCAGTTGTGAGCAGAGGCAGCTGTCCTTGGATGCATGGATCTGTGGCGCTTCTCCTTCCCAAAGGCTTCCCTCACACCCAGCCCTCCTGCATGCACTTTGGGGTATTCTAGCTCTGCACAACCCTAGCTAGCCCCCACTGGCCAAGGACACAGTACCATCATGAGCCTCTACCTGTCACAACAGTCACATTAGGGCTGCAGGTTCCCCTAGCCATGTGGCAGGTCACTCCTCACTTTCCTGGTTCTCTATCACAGACAGAGACGGTGCTCAGGAACCTGCACGGTGCAGAGCGGGGCCTGTCAGGGCCAGAGACGATCTGACGTCATCTATTCCAGCGGCACAAGCGAAGGGGAAGCGGGGAGACGCATTCAAGCCCAGGACCCACATTCACAGATGCCAGTGTCAGCCCCACTTCTCCATCATGTGCACCTCATTCCCCCTGGCCAATGTCAGTACTGCAACCACGCCCCTCAACAGGGGAGAGCATCTGGTGTCCACGGGAAAACACCATGCTCTCTGCCAGACGGCAAAGGTGCCAGAAAGGGGAAGAGCCCCGTCTTGTGTGGCGATGAGTATTTCCAGGAGCACACAGGGTCTTGGGAAGTCATGAGGACACACCATCACCGGGAATGGCTCTGATTGTTTAGATGTGTGGGACATCCATTTGCATGCGTGTGCACATCTCCATGGCTGGATGAACACGCCCATGGTACAGACCCAAGAGAGAGCCTGGGGCTCAGTCTCATATGTATCAACTGACATTCTAGATTTGAGGCACCAGACCCCCCCCCCCCACACACACACACACAGGATCTTGAGATTCCTGTGGTCCTGCACATCCCTAGAAGTTACTGCAGATGGAGGGGCTCTTGTTCTAAGCAATGCCATTTGGGTCAAGGTCACCTCCTTGGTGTAGGGAATGAGCCCAGGGTGCCAGTGTGGGTTCGTTTCTACCAATAAGCAGATAGAAATGAGACAACAGTGGTTGGAATAAGAGACTTTTTTGAAGACACAACGCATTAGTGCCTAACTGCTAAGTCCCTGCAGTCTGAAAGGACTCTTCCATCTGATACCATCTAAAATAATTCCAGCCTGCTCCTGACACTGGCAGCATCTATCTGCAGGAGGCAGGGGGCAGAAGACAGGGGTAAGAGGAAGGAAGCAGGAAGTGGGAGAAGGCAAGGGGTAGGAGGCAGGAAGTAGGAGGTGGGGCAGGAGGCAGGAGTCTAGGTGGTGATGGTGGACCCTAGATGCAATGCACATGGCAGCTCAGTGTCCATTAGATCACTGGGAGGTTAGGCTAAGAGCTGGAAAGGAGGTTGGGGCTTGGAGCAAGGCCTGTGCTGTTGGCCACACGACCAGCGCATTTTCCTGCCAACCATCAGACTGGAGTCAGTGGGAGCTGAGCACTGAGAAGCCAGCACAGAACATTTTGGCTGCACCCCTACTGTGGCGCTTTATGCCAGTATGTGGGGTCAGGGAGGCATGCATCCACGGCCAGGTCACCTATGGCCAGGTCGCTGAGTCTTCATATGGAAAAGACTATGCTGGGTCACTGTTCACTGTTCACAGGACTCTGGTTAGTAGACAGAGGAACCACCTCTATGCTGTTATATTACAGCTGAGACAAAAATCCCAAGAAAAAGATTTGCATGATGGAAAAATAGCCATGCAGGGAGAAGCCTGGGGAGAGGAAGCAGTCTGCACTGCCCCATCCCATGCACATGTAGGACTGCCTGGCCTTTCTCTGCCTTCTCCCTACACTCTGCCATGTAACATGCATGACATGATGGTGCCGCCCAGGTTCCCTGCTGTAGTTCTAATCTCCACGTGGCCATGCTAGGACGGGCTGGCAGAGCCCTGTGCCACATCACAAGACATCAGGAGGGTCTTCGCATATGTGGGCACACCGGCACCACATCCTTGGACTTGTTGGCCTCTGTCCAGGTTTTAGTCTTTGATAAGTCAGTTACAGCAACACAAAAGGGGCTGAGACAGAGTCGTGGCACATGGATGAAGAACACAGTCATCCCACCTGCCAGCATCTAAACAGAAAACCACATCCTCACCTGCAATGGACGGTGCCATTTACTGTTAGGTGAGACAGTGTCAACTGATACACAGATATTTGCGTATAAAATGCTTACAATTTTGGGTAGACAATGTCTTACTCTGTAGCCCAGGCTGGCCTCAAAGTCATGGCAATCCTCCTGCTTCAGGCTTTGAGCACTGAAAATATTTTTCCTGATGGCCTTTCATACTTTAAGAACGGGACCACTGGAGACGGTGGCTAAGGCTTACATTCGTCTGTTTTAAGCAGGATTTCTGCGTCTTTAAAGGCACAGAAACAGCTTCACTCTGTCACTATTAATACTAAGTGCCAAGATTTAGAACTGCGTGCAGCAATCTCTCTAAGGTGGTTAGAGGACAGGACAGAGGTCACCTCTCGCACCATAAGAGGAGAGACTGTGGAATTTAGACATTTATTTGGATGCAAAAAAAAAAAAAGCTCCAAAGTAACTTTGATAATTTTAGCAAATGTGGCTGCTGTGTCTCTGGTGCTTTGGCAGTGGTGTGCGCAAACCTGTTCTGCTGTCAGAACAATGCACAGGTGACTGTGTGGCCCAGGCCAGATGCAGTCACCCTGCCCCGTCCCGAGCTCTTGGGATCACTATAATGAGTGACACACTTGTCACCACGGTCTCAGTCTGGGGGACCTCCAACTGCAGGACGCTCCAGGGCCCGAGCCAAAGATGCAGAGCTACTTTCCGGGGACTCTCGGGCAACAATCTCCCCGAAAGAAGGCATTTAGAGCCCCGCTCATAATGCCGCTGTTCAATTACAGGAAAGCAAGGACATTTTAAAATGTCAGTTTGCTCACTTCTCAGAATGTGGGACTCACAATTTACCACACCCCAGGGAATTTTAAGGGAAAAAGGAGAAAGCATCTACTCCTGCCTTGGTATTTCTCAACAGAGGGGTGTTGTGGGTCAGGGGGGGCTGGAGAAGGCGGGAAGGTCCCCACCACAGCCACAGGCTCTGGAGCAGCCTGTCTGCACGCCCCATCCAGCACTGGAACACAGTACCAGGCTTCCTCATCTCCTACGCTTAGGTTGCTCTTCTTCTGAAGCCCAAGGCTGTTTTGCTCATCTTCCTCTTGTTCTAAGCCCAGACCCCCCGGGCTGATCTCAGTGCTGACGATCTGCGAACCAACACTGGCAAGGAGAGGCTGCGTCAGAAAGACTGCCCAGGCCATGCCCTGCACACGGCTACAGCACCGGAGCCACAGCTGTGGTTACCAGGTGCAGAGGACCTGTAGGACCTAGCTCCAGCCCTGGGATACTCTGGCATGGGGACCCAAGGCAGCTGAGGCTCAGCTGCCGCCTGGGAGGAAGTCCAGCCAGAGCCTCCCTATTCTGGGGTTCCCAACTGCTGCCGTAGAAGCCATCTGGTCTGTGGCACAAGGAGAGACAGGCACACAGCAGGAGTTCATCAGGGACAAAGAAGGCGCCCTGTCCATTTGCTTGTGTTGGGGCACTCATTTAATCACTCAAGCAAAGGAGGTCGGACAGTAGGCTCAGGGATGGGCAAGGGTCAGCTGGGGTCAACCAGCCCTGGGATCCACAGTATCCAGAACCTTTCCGCAGAAAGGAGACGCGCCTGCCCCACGTTTATGAGTACACAGCACATTTGCCTGCAGAGCGGGAATGGGAGAGTGTGGGGCGGTCAGTCAGACCGGTCAGCACCTCACGCTGGTCTCATGGAAAAGAAAACCTGCAAGGACAGACGCAGCATGATTTGGGATCCCCTTCGCTGCTGTGCAGAGCCCAGGAAGACCCGGGTGGCTTCTCCAGGGCAACTAGCTTCTTTCTAGAGTCCCAGTCGAGTCTCCTTGCTTCCCTCAGGGCACTGGGCTTGGAGGAACTGAGCTGAAGGCAAGAGCTCCAGGATGCGATGCCCACAGGAACTTACCCGTCCACTGTCCCCTCTTCCCTCCTCCCACTGGTACCTGCGCAGCTCCATTCCTTTGCCCTCCTGTCTGTATGAGATTAGGAACTGAGAAGGTGGGGCGTGCAACTTGTCACTAGGAGCACTGTCGAGAGCCACCTCAACGCTATTTCAAAGAAATGCTTGATAAAATGTAAGACAAGACGAATGAAGATCCTGGGGAAGTAATTCCTCCTCCACTCTGGTTTTGTTGTTGTTGTTTGTTTGTTTGTTTAAGACAGGATCTTAGGCAGCCCAGGCTGTCCTTGAACTCAGAACGTTGCTGGGGAAGACCCCGAGCTTTTGCTAGTGCAGAGATTACAAGGGTGTTCCTTCACACTGTTTACACTGTGCTGGGGTTGAACCCAGGGCATCAGAAGTACAATGTAAGCCCCATTCCTGAGCAAGACGCATTCAGGTTCAGGCAGTTTTTGTGCAGATAGACTACTGGCTGGACACCTGGACCTCTGATACACCCCTGTGGGGCTTGGGAAGTGTCCTGTCTTCCTGTCCCCAGGAACTCGGGTGCTTCTCTGTGGGGATGGAGCTGTGACAGTGACAATGTAACGGCAGTCACCCAGTGCAGAGCCAGCCGATAGCCCCAGCAGCACTTCTGTCTCCAGTGTTCTGGGAAAGAAGGCGCTGCTGGTGTGAGTCTAAACAGGAAGAGGCTCCTCCCTCGTGAGACAATAGATGTGTACATGAGAAACATCTATATTTCGCTTCTTCCATGTTGTAAACCCCCATGATGTACGTGTAACATATGTGAGTGTAAGCAGGCTTCTTGTCACTTGCCCATGCAGAAAAGGAAAAGAAGGCATTCTGCCTCATAAACAGTCAAATGAATGGGGTCTGCATGAGATCGCTCTAAGCCACTCCAAGACTTGAGTCGGACTGTACCGAGCCCACCCTCTTTCTGGCCCAGTCATGTGAAGACTGACAAGATTCGGCAAATGTCCACATGCAACCCAGAACAGTTATTCCACAGTGCCAGGACAGCTCTGCTCACATGTCAGGAAGCGCTGGCTTCGTGCTGAACTTGGGTCTTTTCGCTCTAGCAGGCTCTTAGCTCCTGCCTTGCCTATCCAGCTGCACACAGTGAGGACCACACTGTGTGTGGAAGGGACGCTGAGGGAAGAGCCAGCATTCCTGTCTCCTGAGAGACATCAGCCACCATCGCACGACCCATGGGGCAGATATAAAGACATGAGCAGGTTCAGCGCACAAACCCTTCCCAGGCCACAGCCAGCTTGGACTCATGGCTAATTTAACCCACAGCACGATTATATAAAATAAGGGAGCTACTTCATTTTACAAATGGGGAAACTGAGGAATCAAAGAGCAAAACTACTATGTCATTGACCCAGGTGAAAAGAGACTGACTCCAAATCCCTGCCTCCCTGATTCTTGAGTGATAGCTGTATAGGCCAATCCAGGGACGGTCTCCCCACTTGATTCTTGAGTGACAGCTGTGTAGACCAATCCAGAGCAGACCTCCACCCCTTTACTCATTTTCCTCTTTTCAGAAAGATCTGTTGAGACATCAACTTCCAAGACTCCATGACTTAAATGCAATAGTCGAGCTCCCTCTGCAATAACTACACGCCAAGGGGCCACTGATGAGCATGGGAGTGTGGGTGACCTGGCTTTCATGGCTCATGATTCTGACATACACAGGCTCAGCTAATATGGGCAGTGCCATGCCCAAACCCTGCCAGACTCAGCCAGTACTGCCTTTGCCTCTGATGCCAGTCCACCAGTGTCGTTCCATCCAACTCACCTTTCCGTAGGACCCTTGTCCTAAGACCTTCAGCAGCTCAAACTGGGAGGGATCGGCCTTCTCGAAGCCTTCCTTCACATGGTTGCTGATGTCAATCTCCTTTACGATACCCTCTTCCTGCAAGACAGCAGTGACACGCAGTTAGAACACAGCCAACCTCCAGCCCAATCCATCAACACCCTTCCCTAATGCTAGGAAAGCTGTCTGCTCTGGGGGCTTCCAGTGTAGGGACTGAGATGGTGCCTATGCCCAGCATGTGAGTCTCCAGCGTGGGGACTGAGATGGTGCCTATGGCCGGCATGTGAGCCTCCAGCTTGGGGACTGAGATGGTGCCTATGGTCAGCATGTGAGCCTCCAGCGTGGGGACTGAGATGGTTATGGCTGACATGTGAGCCTTCTGTCCCCCAGAGGTTGCTGTCACCGTGTCTCACCAGGACCATGGGGAAATCTGAATGTGTTCTCTATGATACCCACTCTGCAGTTTACTGTGTGGGGCTGGAATATGGCAGCAGAACAGGGACCAAATAGTGCCCTGAGGGTCTTGCTTCACCACTCGACACAGGAGACCAGGAGAGGGTCCCATGTGGACATGCAGACAATTTAGTCTCTAACTCATTCACTTCCCAGTGTTTTTGACACAGGTAACTCAAGGAGAGCTACAGAAGAGCCTTTCGTCTATAAACCAGGCACCAGGCACCAGTCTCTAAGTGTCCATCACTTCCTGCACGCTAGGAATGCAGGGGCCCAACAGTGGCCACTGGAGTTGGACAGCATTGGACAGCAGGTGTCACCCCGCACATCAGAAAGGGCAGGCCAGGAAGTCATCCCCAAACAGCCAGGAAGTCATCCCCAAACAACCAGCAGGAAGCAGCCTTCCCTGGAAGTCATCCCCAAACAGCCAGCAGGAAGCAGCCCTTCCCACATCTTCTTCCTAAGCAAACCACAGAGCCCGGTTTCCTCTCAATATCTGAGCTCCACAGCTGCAGTGTCTCCCTCCATTCAAGGACTGACTACCGTCCCCTGGGGATGACATCACAGTGGCAATGGCCACTTACACTACATATTACCTTATAGGGAAATGAGTGCCCCGGGCTATAGGTGTATACTACCATGCCTGGCTCCTTGTCTTGTGCTGATAGCGGCTGTTTCTCTTGGTGAGGCTGGCCATTTTATCCAAAACTCTACAGAGGATTTAATGCAGTTCCCTCAAAACATCCAAACCGGTGCCATGAATACTAAATGCTCAGTTTATGGCACAGGACAGAACTCTTAAAAGTAACTAGATGTTTGGGGAATGAAGCCAGTTTCAAGGTCAGATGGAAGCTACACTTACAAAGCCACCATCCCATGACTTGAGAGAGAGAAATCAGAAACCTCTATAGGCTGTAGATGACAAGGAGTGCTAAAAAATCTTACTGAGTGGCAGCAGGGTTCTAGAATGTTCCAGGAGAGCAGGAAGGAGGAAGGACAGCCATGAAGCAGCTACCAAGAGTAAAGCCGTAATAGGGCCTTCCTTTCCTGGTTTATCCCTCATCTCTTTCTCTTGCCTTGTGGCTCCAGACAAGGGTTTGACTACTATACTGGATTAAAAAAAAAGTCAGAGCAGACATCGTATCTAATTCCCACCTTCAGAGGAAATGTTTAGTTTTTTTCTGTTTAGTATAATGTTGGTTACAAGTTTGTTGTATAAACCACATGTTCTCTGCAATATGCAGATTCAACTTATAATGTATATGATTGTACGTGTGTGTATACATACATACATACATACATACATACATAAGTGCAAAACAGAAAGGACAAGGAGTTACACTCATGACCCCTCATCAATAGAGCTGCCTAAACAGGACCTGAACAACGACAATACCAACAAACATATTGTCATTGTGGAAGGGGGACTCTCACAGGCCCCACCCCGAGACCGAGACTCCAGACAACTGAGGACTGAGGACCTCTGAGAGAGGGAGAGCAGCTGGACTCAGGGACAAGCCCCTAACTGGTCATCTAATTCCCAGCGCTCAGCCCTGATACCATACACAGACAAGGAACACTAAACAGACGCAGCAGGCTGTAGCTATATATCTGTGCCTTTATACATATAACAATAGCAGTTACACAAAGAGGTCTTGAATTGGAGGGGAAGTGAGGTGAGTATACATGGAATAAGTAAGGGGGAGGAAAGAAAAATGATATAATTATATTTTAATTTTAATACACTATATTTTAAATAGAAAAGAGACCAAAGGAGGGCAAAAACAGGTGATGGATAAGGGATAAGCAAAAATAACACAGGGCATAAAAGAGGAAGAGACACTGAAGGGAGGTACAGGAGACCGGGGAGCACGGAGATGATGGAGAGGAGGGAAAGGAAAACCCGAAGCATGTTTGCTCCAAAGTGCACAGTGATATCTAACATTATATATGCTATTTTTAGTACTTTTAATTAAAAAAAAAAGAGTCGGGAACAACCCAGCAGCTGCACAACCCAGCTGCTGCGCCTCAGCCGTTTCTGAGCAGTCGCCCCGTGAGGACTGTCCTCTGTGTTTAGTCTCCGTCATCCCATCCTCAACCACATCGTTTATTAGAGGCTAATGAAGTCCAGGGCTGTTAACCTGGGCTGGTGAAGACCTAGGGAACCCTCCCCGCTGATCTCCTAACTCACGAATGCCTTATTTCATATCTCATCTGGCATTTCCATTGCTTTGGGTACGAGGGCTGGGACAGTACAGAGGCCATTCTGGAAATCAGGGGTCATGTCTAAGACATCAATTCCCAGAAAAACAACCAAATAAACTGGTGACCGGGGATCATGGAATAAAAAGCGAACTGCAAGCAGTAATGCATGTCTTTAATCTCAGAACCGGAGGCAGATGCAGGGTGATTGCCCACAAAGTCTACGCCAGCTTAGGCCAGACTTCCAATTTTGGGTCAGCTGGGGCTATACAATGAGAGCCTGTATAAGGGTAGGGGTGAAGAGGAGAGAAGAGGCCAGGAGGGAGAGTGGGAGGGAAGGAAGGAGGAACGGAATGCAGAAACAGAAATTAACGCAATGGACCCACAAATAACTGTAGAGCAGACGGGGCAACAGCAGCAGACCCAGCACGGTCTTAGTGAGCAGTGTGACTAAGGTCAACTAGACACGATGCTGGGAAGGGTCAAGGGTGACTACGCCTGCCACAGAATCATGGGAAGAAGAGAAACCTTGTGCAGGAAAGGGTTAAGTGGCGAAGGTGCAGATGGAGCACCAGCCAGCAGTGGAGACTGAATACAGGCAAGGAGACACATACAGAATGTCCTTCTCAGTGACCTGGGATGTCTTCCACGCCCACCCATGCTTGGGACAATACATTCGATACAACATTCAACTGAGTGAGTGTGTGGGGTCCCGGGAGGAACAGGAAGTTCAAACGCACCACCAAGCCCACTTTTCTCAGTCACCCTGGATGGGAACCTTCACCTTCTCTTCCTGAAGGAAGTAACTGGGCCCACAAGAGTAGACAGAGAGGCAGGCACGCGCACACACACACACACACACACACACACACAGTAACAGGCGGAGATGGTTGCCAGGTGTCTTTGTCTTCAAAAAGAAATCACACAAGCCACCTGAGAACAACAATACAGGAGCAATAGCTGAAGGGCAGGTGGAGGAGGAGCCATCCCAGAAACAAATGTGTCCTTTCCCTACCCCCACCTCAGGCCTACTGACGTGGGTTACTAAGGCGACACAAATCTTCCCCTTAAATGTTTTCTCCTCAGTTTCTCTGTTTTGAAAAGAAAGTTTTCCTCACAGTCTCCAGCCCTTTTCACCCCACTGTCTCCTGTAGTTTTATGAACCACACTGTGAAAATGAGACTCCCTGCAAGCTAGAGTCATGAGCATGACCGATGGGTGTAGTTCCACGTTTGCAGGGGCCTCGCTCCCACTGACGGTATCCACAAGGTGGAGGCTGGGTTACCTGCAGACACGTGGCCCCTGCAGGAGGCAGAACCTGTCTTCCTTTGGGACATCTAAGTCCAGTAAGACCTTTGCTCCTGAGTACACCTTGAAGCCCTATAAGTATTCTACTGTATCAATACCACATACTAACTGATGGTACCATGAACAATTAGTTCCCCTCTCTCTTTTCTAAATCTCTTCTCCAGAAATGTAAAACTAATCAAGATGATCAGTTGTCTGTCTGTGTAAGAGAACTAGAGGCCACAAAGTCCTAAGTAAGTCCAAGTCCTAAGTAAGGCTCACCTACCGCCATCACATCCAGCTAGACCAAAATTAAATTTCAAGTTTAGGCAAAACTAATTAAGTATTTTTTAAAAACAAGCAAGATTAGATACCTGCTGCAAGGAAAAAAAGGGATATAAGTGGTTTCTAGATGCCAAGAATAATAGGAAGAAAAGAAGAGTTTGTTGGTCTTACACGGAAGTTTGTATCCTTGACAGACAAGATCCCTTTGGAGGCAGGGGTGGAGCTCTCGAGCAAGGCGCATGTGAGTCTGTCCATGCAATAGGGACACTGTGCACCCTGCTCCAGGGTGCTTACATGTTCACAGGAGAAGACGGGCTTGATAGTAATCTACTGGAAATTGACAAAAAAAAAAAAAAAAAAAAAAAGCAACTCCAGAGATAGAGATCGACACACTCTTCTGTCCACAAGGGCTGCACACACATAAATAAAATACTAATAAAGTAAAATTAGGGTCTAGTGTCAATCAGAGACCTCTGAATGAGTGCGATGTGCGTATTTCATGTATACACACGCATGCATACACTGTGCTAGTTTTCCAGATATGGACACGAAGAGTTTCGTTCTCCCTGCAGGTAGCACTAACCAGTGAACCAGTGGGCTGTGCTCTGCCTGTGACATCTCCGATGGAGGCCTCATGGGTCATGGTCCCCGAGACAGGCAGTGAAAGGGCCCTGTTCCTCATCTCTGGCTACCTGCCAGAAGTAGATCTTCTTTGGGATCCTTGAGGAGAAAGCATCAGAGCAGGTGTGACTCTGCCACCCCAGCCGCACAACTTTTACTAGCTCAGTGACTCTCGCAACAGAGTCCAGACCAAATGAGCCACAGACTTCAGAATGAAGCTTAAACAACAGCAGTGGTGTAAGGATGGCGGC